AGAAATAAAATAAGAAAAAGTAGGAAGTTAATAAGAAAATTACCTAACGAAGAATACGGAACTAGAGAAAAAAAAAGAGAATTGAAAAGAAATATAAACATGTATGTATAAATAGATATACCAATAAAGATTGATTGAATTCACTGACACTATACTATGCCCAGAATCCTTTGAATCCTTTCAGTAGATGACAAATGTTACAGTAGCTGGGACCGAAGAGGTGTACTATAGCGTAACTGCCGTGGGTGGGAAGGACCACCTTGATCGTAATCCAATACACTGCACAATAACTAAGGTTGCTGCTCATTTAGTAGCATTGTTTTATAATGAAACAGGAAAGAAGCCGAATGTTCAACCTGGAGCATAACCGGGCTGAGGTTATTTCATGGACTCTGAATTCTCGTAGGAAAAGAATTCTTATAAGAATCACTATGTGGAGTGTCTAAATGCACCTTATATGGATGACCTCTTGTGATGTGATGCCCACAAAGGGAGAGATTCGGAAGAACATTCGGCTGCCATTCCAGGGAATCCAGAAAATAGTTGGATTAGGTAAAAGCAGTGAACTTAAAAATATCGCGGGGGAATAACAAAGATTGAAATGTAGGTCAACCCTCATCGTCACTGTCCTGTGGCCGAGCAGAACACTGCTTTCATTTGAATGAAATCTTTCTAGGTAGTAATAGCTGAAATAAATGTTTAGATGCATTCGTGACGGAGCATGTTGTATTTGTCATCAGCCAAGTTGAGACTGCAGGTGGTCATCCGACAAAAGCAATATCTAGCAAAGTGGAACAGCTTGAGTCGAACACGGTCTGTTTCCTACATATTCACAGACAGAACTGTCTGTGGAAATTCACACTTGACACACCCTTTCAGCTACCGAGATCGAAGTCTTCGATTGGATAGGCATTTTTTCATGTGAATTGCATTTTCTTCACAGATGTGACAAATCCTATGGAGGATAAGGATATTGAGGATATCTGCAACATTTGCTTGCTGTCGTGGTTCGGGAGCAGTTGCCCTCCTAACCCTCCAACACGACTCATCGAGGTGGTTCGGGGCCCTCGTGGCCTTTCCCAGGCACCGGCCGCTCTACGGGCCGCTCTACGGGCTTTTCCCGGGGACCATGCAGTTTCCCACACGCATGACCTCCGCATCCTGAGGCCCTACGTTTTCCTAACCCAGGAACGGGGGTTTACTGGGCCGTGCCCTGCGGTAACAACCCCCAGCACATGAAGACTTATTGCACCTTAATCGGACCCCAGCCCTGACGCCCCCCCAAGCTTACCCGTGCTGCTATACTTGTACACCACACTACACAGCTTGGACTCTTAGTTTATTAGCGATAGCATCCTTCGACGTCCTACAACTCAACTTCCTGCCGAGCCCGGCCAACGCACGTGGTCGTCCATAGCTTCCTGCGGTAACAGCGGTAACAACGGCCTGCAGCCGATAGTGTCCCTCGGGTGTAGCGGGACACTAACTTACCAGCGCTCCAAGCGAACGGGACAGCATGCCCGAACATGCTGACGGTTGCTAGCAGGCAGCCCTAGCCATTCGCCTTTCTCGCGTTGCCCGACCGTCGCCTCTCTCCTAGGAGACGAAGAGCGCCCACTGGCAGAGGCGACTCTTTATGTAGGCCTCGGCAGGAGGCGTGGCCGGAGGCGGAGCATGCCTCGCTCGGGTGCATGCGCCGCCATCGCGACCAACGGCGCGACAGAGGCCGCGGGCGCGGTGCGCCCACGACCGTCGCCGCGAACCATGACATTTGCTAGTACTGCAGGGTGTCCCATAAATATTGCACCAAATTTGGATTAAAATTACGTAGAGGCGTTGAAAGCTTTCTTCCAAGATTCGCAAAAGATTCGACGTGTGCGTCACCGTGTGCGGCCGTTTTTTTCGCTGCTCCTCTTATACATCAGTTTTTTGGCTAGTCTCTAGCAATTTTGCTTCCTCTGATAATCATATACCTTGCTTGCTGTGCTTGGACTTCTGTACCTGCCGATCCTGAGATTTCATTCCCGTGACTCGAAAATCTCGTTTATTTTAGTTTTATTGACGCCATTGCTCACTATGACTTCCTATTGACGTGCAGATCATGCCGCCAAGGCCCGCGCTCCAATAAATCAAAAGTTCAGGCTGGAAACCTACCTAATCTCAATCATCTTCGTGGGATAATGTAGATTTAGGTAATTCGGTGACACTAGTGAGAGTATCGACTTAGTACTTTTAGCGTGAGCAGCTGCTCAAAGCGCTACTCGATCGGAATGTTGATCAGTCATGGAAAAGATGATCGTAGCGCTCTCGAAAAATTCCGAACGAGGCAATCGGATACTGGAAGCTGAGAAGCGCTCAAGAAGCCTAGTGGTCAGCGCCTTGAAGAGGCGCGGCACATCTCAAGCCGTTCGAGCGTCAGAGAGAGCTCCGAAAGCAAGGAGCCGACTTGTTGGATGCCATACAAGTAGAGTGCCGCCGCTGTGGAAGTCCATAGAATGGGCAGGCAGACTCTGCGCGCAGACTCGTTTAGATCCTCCTACATTCAAGGCATTACTGGGCACTGCTCTGATTAATGCTAAAAATATTACGCGCATGGTTGGTTCCCCGACGTTTTGTAAGGAAAAGCTCACAGCTGAGGAACGCAAACGGGAGTTCGATCTGCGTCAGCTAGCAAATGAGGAACAAAGGGAAGCCAAGCCGGAGTGGGTCGTCCTATAGGGCGAACTCAAGCACATTGTAGGACCTACCACAGTCTCAAATTCGGAAACGCATGAGCGAGCATGGCGAAGTGAATTTTTTAACTGCTTTCTTTTCAACACTCGTAGTATTGTGAACAATCATAAAACTACATGCACATTTCTCTAAACATTCACATATATGCGCACGACTGAATTGGCTATTCATTCAGACAGGTTTGATTACCAGTGGGAGTAGTGTGATCCAGATTGTACATATCGTATCCGTGTACAGATGCGATAGGAAAGAAGTAAAGGTGGCGGTGGTGTGCTGTGTGATTAAGTCCTCCTTAATTTCGAAAACAAAATAAGCCTCCAGTACACTTGAGAGCCGATATTCTCTGTGTTCGAACTTATTAGCGACAAAGGCTTACCCACTGTGATGCTAATTGCCGTATACCGACTTCCCATTCTACATCCACTGAAGATGCCCTGTTAATAGATGCGCTCTCAGACCTATGCTCTATCCAGCCCAATACAATTCTTGTAGGGCGATTTCAACCTAAGCATAAGTGGATAACCAAGGAACCTTCAAACTCTCCTGCAGCTCACTTTCTTAACTCTTTGAGACTGCGGCTTTACGCAAATATGTCAGCCAGCCCACACAATGACAAAATTTTGGATCTCGTCCTATCCACAGGCGTTATGGTTTCCAATTATCTGTTCGTGCACCTTCGCTAGTTGCCAGCCACAACATGGTAGTCTTTCGTGTTGGCCAAGATGTTCTCCAGTAGTAACTACACCCTACTCCTGACTTCTTTCACACGGATTTCGATAAACTGAACGTTCATCTGAAACATGTCGACTGGTTCAACGTTTTGATAAATACACCTCCTCAACTGAAATCTATGATAGATTTTGCTCAAAGATGCCACTTAGCAATGTCCAAGTTTATTCCTTCCAGGCTTCCTCGTCGGCACTTGGTTTGAATATCGCCTCCCATATCAGGAATTGGTTAGCCCAAAAAGATAGACTTTCCGAACTAGACCATCTCCTTTGTCCGACTCTTGCTACAGAAAGTTTGTTACTGATCTAACCAGGAAGGTCTTTCAGGGCGTGACGAGCTTTTTGAAAACGTCTTTTGCATGATATAGGGGCAGATGTTGGGACCACAGAAGCATGTTCAAATTTTCCTGAACGCCCTCTGAATACAGAGAAGGAGGTCCCTAGTTCGATTCCTCTCTGGTGACAAATTTTTGCATTTCGAGTTGACGTTCCAAAATTCGCGCAAAAATGGAGTTCTGATTGTTCTGGTTGTTCTAACTCCATTTTGCGGCGAATTTTGGCACGCCAAACTCGAAATGCAAAAATTTGTTACCACGAGGAATCGAACTAGGACCTCCTTTTCTGGTATTCAGAGGCCGTTCAGGAAAAATTGAACATGGTTCTGTCGTTCTCGCATCTGCCCCTTATATCATGCAAAAGACCGTTTTCAAAAAGCTTGTCACGCCCTGAAAAGCCTTCCTGGTAAGTCATCATCTTAAACGATCATGGACAATCATGAAAGGCGCTACCTAGCCAAAGCCCAACTCAAAGCAAAAAGCTATTCATTACATTAATATAAGAACGAAAACCCGCTCGCACCTTCACTTCTTTTCTGATGATTCCGATAGGATATTCTTACTGATAAGCAAAAAGCTAACGCTCTCGGGGCATACTTCGCTAGTGTATTTCTCTGATAGCAGCTCTAAAAGAACTGCGTATCGGTGATTGAAGTCGCATATCAGCGCCCTTCGGAAATTTGTATCCACCCAATGACGTTTTTCGGGTTTGAGAACTCTTAAGCCATCCACTTCTGAATGCTTCGACGCGTATTCCACAGATTATCTTCAAAAAGTGCGCGTCTTCCCTTAGTCAGCCACTGCACCATTTTTCAATATAACGCTTGCTTCTCGGCGAGGTTCCTGACCAGTGGAAAGAAGCCATTGTTTCAGCCATACCCAAGATGCCCAAGCAGTCAACTACTGTCTGAATACCGTCCTATAAGCATTATCCTACGCCCGCAAAGGTTTGAACGACTGTTAGAAATAAACTTTTATCGTGCTTCAGAAGTTCAAGTATTCCCGAGATGAGCAGCACGGTTTTCTGAAAGGCGCTTCAACCACATCAAACCTTCTCGACAGTGTTTCGATTGGTCTGTAGCACTTAATAAAGGGAAGCAGTGGATATTGTGTTCGTTGATCTTTCAAAATCTTTCGATAGGGTCTCTCACTAAAAACTCTTGAATAAGTTGGAAAATCTCGGTGTTAAGGCCCTCTTGAAGTGGTTCGCGGACTTTACCTCAGTCAGAGATATATGAGAGTCAGGGCAGGACGCAGCTTTTCATGTAAATTTCGCTGTCGTAGCGGCGTTCCTCAGGATCTGTTCTTTCACCACTTCTGTTCCTCATTTATTACAATAGATCTTCCCTCCTTCATCAAGACATCACCAGAAATTAAATTCAGGTTTATGCAGATGATGTTAAAATTTACGCAAGTTACAACGAACACACAAAGAACTAGTTCAGTCAGCCCTGAAGAATCAATAATGAAACTGACGGAATGGGCACAAGTTGGGAGCTGTCCATCAACATTAGCATTAGCAAGTGCTCAGTAGCCATTTTGGGTGGAGGGGCCAGGAATTATGAAATCAATGGTGTCCTGTTGAAGCAATGGCATGCCATAAGGATCTTGGGTGTCTACTTTAGTGACAATCTAACGTTTTGGATCATATTAGATGCGTACTAAGAAGGCTTTGCCACTATGTACCTGATTTTTCGAAACTTTCACAGCAAGGATATCAAATCATTACTTTGTCTCTACAAAACTGTGTACTCCCCATTTGAATACTGTTCCCCAATTTGGAACTCTGCTCGCAAAAAAAGACATTTTGGAACTCGAGAAAGTGCAGAAGAGTTTTACCAGATTGCTTTTCCTAAGATGTTTCCTTACGTAGCTCATAGCCGCCTGCCGAGTTACGACGAACGCTTAAAATCGCTTGGACTTCATCGTCTAATAATAAGAGAGCTGTGAATGATTTGACATTCTGTTTTCGCATTCTGAAGAAAGAAAACAATACTTACTCCCAGTAAGTATTGGGTCTTTCGACCTAGCAGCGAGAGAACGGGGGTTTCAGCCTACATCACGTCCGCATTTCAAGGAAAAATCACTATTTGCTTATTCAACAACTTTTCTGTCGGATTTGCAAGATGGCTAACTACCTACCAGGTGAGTTGATGATGGCACCTAATGCCAGATTTTCAAGAAGAATTTGTTGAAGCTCGACCTTTCTAGCACGTTGAAGTTAGATTGACTCGAATAATTCTTACTAGTCTAGCTGCCACTCAATTAAGCTGGTTTTGCAGGCTTTGCACGTATTTAGCACAAGTGCAATCTCCTTGCTGACTCGTTGATTCAGCTATACCCATGCTCATTCTACGTGGATTTATTGAAGAGTACTTCTAGTTTGACCTTGACAATATTCAAGTCATGTCGGAGTTACTAACAACGAAGCGATTCTGTGTGTTGTCTATCAGTTAGATGTTCCCAGTCACTCCTAGGTCGTAACATCATTCAGCGGCACATACTGCTGCCATCATTTTGAATCCTCGTGACCTTCAAGCTTCCCTATCCATCTGGCACTCTTATGTTAGTAGGTATACCTTTCCCGGTCACCCGGTCAGTGCAGGTCAACAAGTATTTATATGAAATACTTGGGTCTCAGTCTTACGCCCTGGGTTCGTGTTTAGATCAAAAAGCACCTACTTTGGCCCGCCCGGGTACAACTTCGATTGGTTGTGTTGCCTAGACTGACCTGCACTTACCACTTTTTATGGCTAGTTTACGTGATAATGCAAAGGGATAGGCCCCCTCCACTTACTGAGATCATCCCCACCACTAGATTTCGATGGCTAGCTAGTAAGTGCTGAGCTCTTTGTGCTCTAGTCTAATTTACTGTCCCCACTGCGCCGTGAGCCATAAACTGAGGGAACATTTCGAGTTAGGCTATTTTTAGAGGTATTTTGTTTTTGTTTTGTTTTGTGTGTTTTGTTTCTTTATTTTTGATCTTGCTATCAGAACTAACCCACTCTGTTGCTGTCATAGCGCACCATTGAGTGCTAAGATAAATAAATAAATAAAAAATTAACTTAGCTTTGCTCTAAAACATCTTTTCATAGCCTTTTCAAAGCTCTGAATGCGCTGTACTCGATGAGCAAGTTGGCATGAATTTTTCTAGTTTTGAGTAGATCTGAAGGTAGCGGGAACAGTTCAAAATGTTAACGATGCACTTGGCCTAGATTCGCAATAAACGTGCTCATATGCAGTAGTTTGAAAAGTTATTTTAACGAAAGCGAGAGCCTTGGGTATGATACTAGTGGTAGTCAGATATCAAACGTTGCCACCCATCAGCCCAAAATTTTGATTGAGGCACTCGTGCGTAAGACCATAGAGGAGGTTCTGCCCAACCTGGGCGTATATGTTTTGGAGAGCCATGCTATACGGAAGTAGCTGGAAAGTCCAAAAATTTGATAGGGGCGTGCCGCGACAAATCACCATTCTGAAGGGTCGTTCATCAAATTGTGGCTCGTTTTATGTGATAATAGCGACTCTTTTTTATACAGATTTGCAGCGTACAATAAAGCGCGGTTTCTTCTCTACGGTCCACGAAGCTTTGGTGGATAGCTCAGTGGCGATAGTGTTCTACTGACTGTGCAAAACTCAAACGGTGCTGGAGGAGGGTTATGTTACTTTCATAAGGTCGACGGCTGGCCTGGTTCTTCCGCCTAACCAGGAGCTTGTGGAAAAGGACCAGTGGAAAAGCAGTATCAACATTACGCCAAAATTCGCCAAAAACTCCAAGACATGTGCTCAGCATTCCTCATAATACACAAGTTGGACCAGCTGGACTTCGGAATGATTCTGCGAACATCTAACTTAGTAGACCTTCGGTCTATCTACTGTCACTTTTCTGACGATCTCGGTAGCCTCTTTGAAGAGAAATGCATCAAAACCCAACGTGATGCCAAATCGACCTTCCCTCAGTTCATCACCTAAACAGCTATAGCATTCTGGACAAGCGTTCCCAGTAGAATGGTTCCTCATAGAGGAAGGTTCGCGCATTCGAATGTTTTTTATCAGCTTGAAAGGTTTATTTTATGCCGAGATACATGAATTTAAAATTCGGAGTTCGGGAAACGACAGAACTTTCTGAAACGCCTATTACAAAGAGCTGTTGTCGAGGGTCGAAAATTGCGATTATGCGGGCATCGTTTTCACCGAAGCAGCAGCCGAACCTTATCATGGGCTCGGCGGGAGTCTCAACTACCGGTCGCTCACCATCACTACCTTTTTGAAAAAGAATACAATTTGATGCTAAACGAGCCAAGGGACATTTCGGTGTACCATCTGTTACTGAGGTATCTATTCACTTTGAGGAGGGTTGATGATATTTTCAATAGGACTCATCTTCTGCATGGGAGGCAAAAATTGTTTGGGAGCGCTGTCAAGGCACTCTTTCCAATTTCACATTTTCGAGTGAATGGCTCTCCTATCCCTTGATTCCAGGACCATCTTAAGTGAGCTATGTTAGAGGACAGAGCATGCACTAAACATTGCATCCACATCGATGAGATGCAGACTTTTCTCTGCAATCTTTCAGAGAGTACACCCCAGGATGCCATGCGGGCTACAGTGAAGTTGCGTTCGGAGCAACTGGTAGCCATACGCACAACAAAAGCAGAGCAGACCAGTGAATGTCATTCCTTACAATATGTAAATGTATTGCAAAAAGTTTTGCAAATCCTCTTGAAAATGCATCCACCTTGAAAGAAGTTACAAGTAGAAAAAGTGGTGCAATATTTATTGGACACCCTGTACTATATGTATGTAGTGAAAAATGCATACCAAGCAGAAATAGCTCACTAAAGCTTGGATGCGGGTTTTGCAGTGGTAGTATAGGTTGAGCGCCGACTCAATCATTCATTTATTCATTCAAGTGTCTATTTCTTCATACTTGCGTCATCCTTCCCACAGTTGTTTCTGTTGTTCTCAGCAAGGTGATGTGTGGCAACGTTAGCATCCTTTCATATCTTGCGCCACTGTGAGCGCCATGGGGAACGTGAAATTTTTTAAGGTTGTAAATGTAAGTAATGGAAACTTGGAAAGATACTAGAACCCACACGAGTTGGATGTGGTGGTCGTAACACGCGTGAACATCTGAAGTTCGCCGACTAAAAGTCGTAGTGTCAATGGGCTTTACAGGGGATAACTGGTAGACAAGTGCGCAGTCTATTCGAGCAATAGCATCAGTGGGACGTGTAGTTCAGCAGCAGCATCAAGCTCCAAAACACCTTAACCCGAAGTAAGTAAGGTTCTGTCTGAATGAACTTCCAAGGGTTACCAAAATTTTGTGATTTGGTGAAAAGGGCGTAGGCGCTAGCAGCGGTGCATGTCAATGCCAGTGGAAATACTAGAAGTGGTCATGGGCTGGACTGCACCGTTCATTCCTCAACCACTTTAGCTACTAGTGAAATAGTTGCAGTTTTCGATGTACTTTGAATGTAGCTCTGAATGTAATGATCCCTTCTTTTCAGGGCACATTCGATATAAGTTCCGAAGACTTTTCTATCGCATTCCCCTACCACATCTGTTTTGACAAAGATCTTCTCATTGAACACTGCGGACATTACATTAAAACCGCATATCCACAGGCGATTCGGCAAGAGACCAGAGTGACTGACATTCTCGAATTGGTGCATCCAGAGGCAAGCCTAATGTTTATGAAAATCAATCTGTGAGAGCGCAGCTCATACAGGAAATCACAACATCTACAGCTCCGCAATTCCTTCAGGTGCCTTTCTCATATGAGTCAATACTGGCTTTTAAGAACAGCCTATTTGTGTTCAAGATGAGAGGAATCGGAGATATTGTGCACAGCAAGAAAGACGAAACGGAGCCTATTCTTCTAAAAGGTAAAATCGTTTAAAACCGCTTTCATATTGAACTTGAAGCGACACTCCCTAATCGATTTCAGGGGTAAAAGCGGTCGATATAAATTGTGGATGCCGAGTTGACAACATATGAAAAAAGAAGCAAAGAAAACCGCCGATGAACTCCTTAACAAAAGACTTCCCCACCTTCCTTGAAAAAAAAAGAGTGGGCGTGGCTATACGAGCTGTCCGAGCTAAGTTGCTCCACCGGCAGTTATTGCTTGCTCGTGCCAGCAATCGCATATGCACCAAAATAATCGTACAAATACGATAATCGAACGATTTAAGCAATGGAAATCAGTCAAAAAACATGCAGCATTTCTCCCAAAGCGCGATAGCGTATCAGCGATCTTGCAAGGACCGTGCAGCGAACCACATCATCTCTCTCGCTCGTAAGTGGGTGGGGAGCAGGAAAAGGTGGAACGCACGAGTTGGCACGTAGCCAAATCTCAACTAGCGGTTTTCCAAGATGAGCCTTCACTTGAGCGACACTTCATGTGTTCTCGACAAGGGCTTACGCATCTTGTCATTCCATAAGTAATCAAAATGTGAACTCTTCTGGCGTTGTTGCTCTAAGCAAACGCATTTCCCGAACGGTTCTATTCCAAAAGGAGAGAGCGGATTCCTTGCTAGCTAACTACAACTCTCGCCACCATTAAGTTTAGAATTGAACTACATTGATATGCCAATCTTAGGACGAGATGGATAGAGGTAGATAAAATAGCAAAATATTCATTAGCAACATGATGGAATTGTGTGAAGCTGTGGGAGCAGATGAGCCAATGTTTTTTTTTCGTTCACAGAAGGGTGCACATCACACTACTTCAGATCAACTACATATGGTTTCAAATGCTGCGGCCGGGAGCACCTTGATTTCCAAAACGATGCGACTCTCTTCGCTCCTAACGCTAACGCTCTCTCCACGCAGCTAGAGACCTGTGTTTAAAGTCGATGGGCGTGTCGCGCCGATAATGCCACTGGCAGCGTAGGGCTAGATCACCGGAAGCATATCCTTCTCAAGGAATCGCGTGTTCCCGCACACTTATAGGGTCCGCCTGTCTTTCCACTACGTAACTTTCCTTTCTTTACCCTCGACCTTATCGTGAAATCCTACCGACGAGAGTAGGTCATCGGCTCACGGTCGGCTACAGCAGAAGGTGCGGCTACGTTTGTGTCAGGCAATGATAAAGCCACGTCAGTCACTGCTCCACTTGTGACCTCATTCAATAGGGTTCTAGGGCACGCTACCCAAAGTTGAACAGTAGCATAGACACCGTCTGGAGATAGTTTACTTGTTCATTCAGTTGATACACGTTCACTGAGGACATCATTTGCGGCGGTGTCGCGAGATCAGAAGTGGACTAATTGGAAAAGTCGGGTGCTTCCTTCAGATAATAGCAGTTTCGGTGTGAATGGTGTCTGGCACACCCTCTCAAAAGTGAGAACTGGGAATCATACTAATATATAAACCAAAGTTTGCTTTTCTGTCAGCCCCCCCCCCCCCCCACCCGAAAACTAGCAAGTGTCCCCCACATGCGAAGTTTAGAAAAAAAATAAAACCATTAAGAAGCCTTTCAAACAAACTAGTTGCACACCGGTTTTATTCTTTTTCAATCAGAAATCAAAAAACGAGTTGTACATAGCTGTTGCGAAAAGAGCCTAACTTGTCTATCTTCAAGGAGAGCCGGAGTATTGATGATCTTAAGGACTGTCGTTCAGGTTCAATGGTGCTCATAGATGGCGGAAATTACATTATCTATATTTCTTCTGTGAATGTTGCAACGGTTCGGGAACTAATAGAGCGAAATCTCCACATAAGTGACATGCAAAGACATGACGGAACGAGGGATCTTATCATGCTCAACCAGAGTCGCATGAGCCAGGTTGAACTGAAGTATGAACTTTATTCATGTTGTTTTTTTTCCTTACAGCCATTGCTACGGTCCACTTTCAAATAGCAACGTGGCTTTTACAATCAATTAATATGCAAACATACGTTTTCGCAAACTCAGCTCACATTTGAATATTTTGTACTTGGACAGAGCGGTTTTACGAAATCAGCATAATTTTGCAAGTGACTCATCATGATCCAGTTCGGGCAGTTCCTCATTAACATTCATTCAACGCTTGTATTATGCTCATCGTACAACTGAACTTGAATTTCGTGTGTAAGCAGCGTCCAATTTCAAAGTGATAGAAAAATGACGTTCTTCGCAGTGAAGATTGTTGTTAAAGACGCCAATTCGATTCTGGACTCTTGTATCTGTGACTCAATGAGCTATCAAAAAACAAGTTCTGTGGATCATTTCCAATTTGGACACAATTGGACCAACGGTTGCATAAGTCTGCAGGTCTCGCGGGCAAACACTGCAATAATCCAACATCTTTGATCTGCCATTCGACACCTGATTTCATCTTCCCGCTATTCTCAGGCAGTGTAAGCGATATGTGCACCTCCTCAGTAACAAATCGCATCCATTTTTCCTTCCATGGGTCCTCACACAAAATCTTCAACATAGCATTTCGAGAACGGTGCATCACACGTAAGTTGAGCCAGCTTACAACGGAATTGACCTGCGAATTCCCTGTGTATGTCGCCTCGTTCAAAATTCCGCCTTGAATTTAGTCATCAAGAGTTTTTAAATGTTTTTGACGACAAACGTCGTCCCTAAATAATCTGGCTCCACGATCGAGGGAATGTAAGCGTAGCGGCGGAGAAAGAGATTGATCAAGATAAGGAGCCGCTACTGAGAGCTGTATATAAGCGCAGGAATGGAAACATGGGGGTTCATAATCGTCTGTAGCTGCGGCTGAGATCGGTGCTGTTCTTTTCGCGTAGAATTCTGCTCCCTAATGTCACCGCATAGAAGTTCGACAGTTCTTAGCTAATCGTAAGATTCTCTGGTTCTATTTATACTGTATTTCATTCGGTCGATTGAGATAGTTAAGTGAGTCATGAATATTTGTTTAACTCTGTTGTTTCACTTCCGAGTATAACCCGCGTGGCAAGTGTAGGTACGACAAGGATATTCGCGTGGAAGTGGGTTCAGTTTTCTTCCATAGCTACGTGAACTAAACTGGGGAACCGTACAGGTGTATTATCTCAAGAAAAAAGGGACGCTGAGGGCTCTACCACTTTCAATTTTCCCACCAATTCTCTAGATCTCTCCTCATGTTTGGTGATATCTACGGGACTTAATAAGATTTTACCCGGTCATTCAGCTGCTTACCAAGTTAATAGATCAATGCCTTTTGACCGAAATGCATATGTGACCAAACTTTTGTTCTAGGCGAAACATAGAGAAGCATGTTACGATTTGTTTCGATGAGAAGTTCGGTTGCTGACCAACCATCCCCAGCTTTACCAACCATGCCGACATAACATCCTTCAATGTAATACTATGTTGGTCCTGCAACAAACGGGCTGAATTTTGATTTTATTATTTCTATTTTTTTCATGTTTCATTCATCCAGCATAATACAGCCGCAATTCACACACCCTTATGCGAACGCACTAAAAGCTGCTCGATGCCTCTCCTATAGAAGCCCACTGACTTCTGATAGAAGAAATATTAGATGTCGATTTTGACATCATGATGGTAGGAATGAGATTAATTCTCCGGATGTGGTCTACATAGGAAAACAGGTGAATATCCATTGACAGGAGTTCAGGGCTATAGGGTGGATGCAGAAGAACTCTCCGTCCGGGAGTCTCAGAATTTTTCTGGATTTTGCATCTCAGAATTTTCCTGGGTGCAAACTTTGTCCTGGTTTTCTTTCGTGTTGGCAGCGTTGCAATCGAGCTTCGACGATTGACTACCGCCGTGATCGTCACATCTGCATGTGAAGGTTTTCAGTACTCAACTCTTCTCGTGCTCCTCCAAAGGCCCACTTGGACGAGGCAGGTCTCTCACTGCTTGTTGACTTGTTGACACACTGCACCATCTCTATGATCACCAGAGAATTTGATGGGCCGTCAGTCCAAGCAGTCACAGTAACCCAACTTGAGCAGGACGATGTAAGAGCGTGTTTGGAGCCAATTCGGAACTAAAGCAGATGGTACACAAACTCTATGTTTCCGCATCTACACAAGCTTCTGAGGTGTCTCAGCATTGTCGCCTTGTCGCATGAACTTGTTCTGACAAATGATCGGCAACCTTTACAGATCCTTCTTCAAAAGCGTCAGGTAGAGCGAGGTGATTGCCTCTCCCGGGTGGTTGGTATGTGAATCATCGTCAAATAAAAAAGTCAACGTTGAGCAGAGTGGAGCGGGTGAACCGGGGTTGAGGAAGTATGCAATCGCCCATCTGCTTACTCCTTAATGTAGCCTGACTCGTGGAGGGTCTCAAGCGGCACATGTGAGATCTATGGGCTTAAAGAGCTTTCCGCGAAATCTATGTAATAACCATAACAAATGGCGAACCAAGGAGCTGGACGGTTGCCCGAAATCGCAAAGGTGGATGCTACCTCAACAAACATATTGTGGAATTTCATAGTCCTAAAAAAAACTTCCGACAATAAATAGAATTCGTTGAATAAATTAAGGATCGTCCTAATATTACAGAACCTTGAACGTAGTACTTTCAAGTGGGAATATATTAATACAAGGTGGGCAAAAAGTACGGTAACAAGATAATTCAGTCATAGAAAACCAATGAAGCTTCAACGGCACAAATGGACAGCACACATTTATTCATGGACGGATTACGAAGAGAGAACCGCTCTTACTCTAGAATGGCGTCAATTCAGGAGCGAAGCCTTCTTGGGAAGGGGTCGACCGCGTTGCGTAGATAATCTGCATCGAGGCTATCCCAGGCTTTCTAAAGTGGCTCCTTCAGCTCGTCGACATTACGATGGTGGAGGAGGCCTTTGTCTCCAGCATGCTCCATATTGAGTAATCCATATGGTTCAAGTCAGGCCGGGCAGCCACTCCTCGAATGGGATGAAATCCGGGAAATTTTGTTGACACCAATGTTGAACCACCTTGGCCTTATGTGCAGGGGCACCGTATTGCTGGAATGTCCACTGACTACTTCCGAAGGTCTCTGCAGTCCAATGTATCAACTTAGTCCGAAGGAGCTCGAGGTATTCCGTGCTGTCTAATTTTATACGTTGGGTATAGAGACGACTCTCTATGATCTTAGATTATTTTGGCGTGATTGTATTTTATTATCATGGTCGATTCCTTACTTATTGGTGTCTTTTTAGTGTACTTTGTACCGTGATTCATTCTGTAACTGAAGAAATCATTATCTGCTGGCTGATCAGTATTGTGGAATGTATACATATAGCTTGCTCCGCCCATTATCCACTGAATATAAGCCCGACAGATTTCCATAGATTCAGTCGTTTTTCCTTCTTCTTTAGGTATTGTATATAATGTAAAATATGTAATAAAAGTTTAATTACCCAAGTTTGAGGTACCTACCAACCCAAGACCCGCGTGGCAACAAAGAGCGACCCCGACGGCTTATGGTGCATCGGCGACTCTAAGGACCAGGACCGAGGACGAAACCAAGGATCTGGACTAGACTGAGGATCGAAGCAAGGATATCCGCTGTCGAGGACGAAGACGTGGAGCTCCGAACGCCAGTCTCATCGGATACGAGGAAGAGAAACAGCTGAAAATGAGTCCGAGAGCTCCATCAAACGCACGAGGTCCCGTCTCTGCTCAACACGTCCTTGTCGTTCGCACTACTGAACAAAATTTTGCACTACTAACATGGCGATCGCTCTAACAACGCGCCAGGCAGTGCTAACACGTGCAGTCAACCGACTAACAGCTAACTTGAAGAAATGCGAAGACTTGGGAAAAATGGTTCTGGAATTCCCACTAGAGGACGATAGGAGAAGGGTGTATGTGGCAACCAAACGAACGGAGCTGTGCAAGTGGAAGTCAATTCTGGAGGTGGAAGTTTCCAATGTCGCACGTGCGCTGGACCATTACAGTTCTGCTGCTGATGGGCTGGATCCGCAAACCCCGTCACTGGACGATATACTCCAGAAGGTAAACGCCAACGTAGAGACCACGGCGCAGCATATGGACACGGCGTATTCGACATTGACGACTATTGAAATGTTCCTCAAAGAATTCGACAATGACGCGAAGAAGCACATGGACACGGTTTCCAACAGATCTCCTGATGTTCCACCAATGAACCTGGCACCTATTCCTATTCCGAAGTTCAGCGGACGCGTTTGGGAATGGGATACATTCTGGGGGGCCTTCGAACATTCCGTGCACTCACGCCAGATGGACGATCTGTACAAACTCAATTATCTCTTGGATGCGCTCCAAGGGGAAGCGAGGGAAACAGTGAAACAGTACCAAATCTCGAGAGAAACGTATCCGCTTGTCGTTGAACATCTGAAACGAAGGGACGGTGAGACCCAAGTGCTGGTCGATCAGATGATACCCAGAGGCCTGCAAAGTCCTAACGAGCGACTGAAAGCGACCGCCTAGAAACCCCGAGAACGCTGTGTGAGCGAGCTTATCATTCATTTGGTTGGCTGCTTCAGCTCTTCGTTTGACAAGGAGAAAACGTGGAGAAATTTGCCTACAAAACGCAGCTTCTGGAAAATTCAGCACGAGGACGTACAATCCCGACAGGTTCGTTTTACAGAAAGAGCTATATTCACCCACCAGAAAGCATTGGACACTATCACACTGTTAACCCCGCGCCCAAGAAGCATCTCACGAGAACTCGTCACGATTTGTCAATCCTGAGCCAGAAAAAGAAGGAACACCATCTCCACGACACAGGTGTCTTTCAAGAAAAATAGCTCTGGCAAGGCAGTCAAAGACGACAGAGGCGCAGCTCTGTTTCTTTACGCGTAGGCGAGATCATATCCTCGGGAAACTGATGAATTATTCCGCAACAAGAAAAGCCCGCTCCAGACTCTACACTCCCCCACCACATCACACACTAATGCCGATAAACTGTGGCGCGAAAGAATATGGTCAGTCATGTACGGGAGGTACCATTGTCGCTGTGTAGCACACGCCATCACACTCTGTATGTCGTCAGCTCTTTTCTCCACCAACAAAGCATCGGCCGCACAAGAGTAAAACAGTGCCGCAGCCTCAAATCAGAGTAAAAACCACTCCGAAAACGTTTCGAAGATTCGATTCTCGACCAAAGTTAAACACACTCTTGTCAATCAAGGTCAAGACAGATGCAGTTCCAACACGCTGGTATGTAAATCATCCAACCGTATACGAACTAACGTCACTTATCCTGGGGACAAGCACAAGTTCTGATCCGCGAATCAAAAAACCGCACTTGAATCGTCCCACGATAAACTTGATACCTGAGCCGAATACGCTCATCATATGTACTCCCCAGTTAGCCGATCACCTTGTACTTGCGTGATATCAAGTCAGTGGCGCTGAACATTAGCACTTCGCTCGCAGCAGCCACTGAAAAATGTGGAATAACGGACTCACAACTGTGGACGCCCATGGCTAAAACTCGAGTACGGTGACTAAAATTGACAGTCACCATAACAACTAACCAACACACAATGCGAAGACACAAATCAACACAGACACCACACAACACACACACTCTCTACGACACAACATGTCCTTGTCAGCATTGACTACAAGTCAAAAGATCAAAATCCACAGCAAAGTCATGCAGCCAGCCGTGTCCGAACGCAATTCCCATCTCCAAACGCAAGAGGGACACGTCTCATCCTCCTCGCTTCACGAAGAAGGATCTCTCCCACCAAAAAAGGTCGGCTTCAGGAACACCTGCCAATGCTGAAAGATTCTTCACCCAGGCGCACGCGAATTCTCCCATGTAGCCGCCAGAAGGTGGATCAACTCGCCCCAGCTGTCCAGTGACACACCTCACCACACTCAGGAAACGTTGCGGAACGGCTTGAGATCTTAGAGGTTAAATGAAGGCATAACCAGAGGAAAACGTCAAGATGCACAAATCGACTGAGGCAAAGCTCGAAAGTTCGATTCGAAAGTATGAACCTCTCACGGACCGCTTTCAAACAGATGGAAAGGACTCAAAAAACGCAAAGAGAGCAGTTCACAAAGTGACTTCCGCCGACCAAGAAGAACAAAGTGAAACAGTTGCAAGAAGAATATCCGGCTATCTTACAGAAGAAAATTTTCCTCCTCCAACTTTACCGCACTGGCCTTCAGACATCAAGATATATCCCATGAGGCTTCCGAAAGCTGTAAACATCGCGCCTTTCGCGACACGAATCCTGCCAGCTGGCGGAAACCCAGCACCGGCGCTTGACAGAATTCGATCCGGCACATGAAGCGAAACCGACCACAGGACTGATGCCTGTGAACAGAGATGAACAGCCGCGTGCAGATTCTACGGGTCGATTGAAAAGGATCGAAGATAAGGAAAGGCACAACTCTTCAAGAAGCACTGGAGAACTCAGGACACGTCGAATGAACCGAGCTGTCAGTCGAGGAATCGAGCTCGAAACGAATACGGACTGCCGAAAGCTCCGCTGGAGCGCCGAACAGCACAGCGCGCAAACTCAACTCGTGCTCAATACGCACAGAACCACAAGACAATGCAGACGCTAGCGCAGCGTAGCCCACACGAAAGCCGACGTCGAGAACGTGTGGACAAAAGCGAAAGACGACACGCGCGTCGACAGGCCTCCACACACAACACACACACCCGTGAGAACACAATCGCAGACCTGAAAGGGAAGAAAGCAAGATTTTCGCCTGTGAAACATGGCCACACAACGCTTTGCCCAGGGAAGTATAAGAGACGAACTCTCTCATGCATAAGACTTAGCATAGTTACTCGGGCGTGATTGTATTTTATTATCATGGTCGATTCCTTAACTATTGTGTCTTTTTTAGTGTATCTTTGTACCGTGATTCATTCTGTAACTGAAAAATCATTATCTGTGCTGATCAGTATTGTGGAATGTATTACATATAGCTTGCTCCGCCAATTATCACTGAAATATAACCCGACAGATTTCCATAGATTCAGTCTTTTTTCCTTCTTCTTTAGTATTGTATATAATGTAAAATATGTAAAAAGTTTAATTACCCAAGTTTGAGTACTCCCTAACCAAGACCCGCTGGCAACAAAGCGCGACCCGACGCTTATTGGGAAAAAGATTAAAGCGTCTTTGTACTCTCCGATGTGATGCAGCAAAAACTCATGATTTTCAGAGACGAATTTGATGTTTATTGTATGACTACGTTGGTCGGCAGTTCCTGTCGTTTGCTTATTTCACAATAGGCTAACTGAACACTTTTCGCACCCCGAAAACACACAGTCGTCGTGATTGACAGAATCGAGGCGGCAATCTCCTGCAACGGGGCTCCTTTCTTTTAGGGCTTGAAGCGTCGGTCGGAAATGACCTATCTACATTTGTCGCACATCACCTATATTTAAGTGTATTGATGACTACCTCGCAACGAGCCACACTGATTCCTATTTCTAAGAAAAAATGAGACATCTGACGCGCCGAGTTACAAGCGCAAAAAGAGCTTCCAGCGTAGCCTTTACAATGTTATCCTGTATGACGGTATTTTCCTTCGCGCTCCCAAGTCTGATGCTAGTGTCCCAATCCATGAACCTTGCAATACTGGTCGATACGAGCTTTCGGAAAAACCCACCCTTCTGTTATCACACAATCGAACACCTTTTGCGTGCAAAACAGATGACCGCTTTACGATGAGCTGAAGCTTTAGCCATTCTAAAATTAACCCAGCCTATGAGACAGAATCGAAGAGGAAGCTTTCAGGTGACCATATAATTACAAAACACTCACATTGAAAACTCCTAGGGATCAGGGTGAAAAAATTTGGGGGCTGCGCATTTGTTACCGTAATTTTTGCCCACTCTGTACATTCATATAAGCAATACTTGCGTAATAGATAACAAAGCATGTTGTGCTTGTGTGGTTGTGGAATCGTGGCAAATTTTTATATATGCTTACTTTTAGTCGAAAACTTGAGGAAACAATAAAATGCATGAAGAAGATGGCAAACGAGTTGGAAATTGAGAAGCAGAAGACTGACGAGCTTTTGTGCGAATTGATGCCAGCTTCTATTGCTGATGCATTGCGCCAAGGAAAAATGATTGAAGCAAGTGAGGTTCAAGATTAGATCTTCCGTATTTTGGTCTGAATGAATATTATTTTTTTCAGGTGATTTTTCTGACTGCACCTTACTTTTCACCGACATCGTCACATTTACAAACATTTGTGCTAAATGCACTCCCTACGACGTTGTCACGTTGCTGAACGATTTGTATCTTCGATTCGACAGGTTGATTGAACTGGTTGGTGTTCCGTTTCTTGAAAAAGTTCATTCTCTGTTTTTAGCACTTCTGCTGTTCCTCTACCCCCACCCCTCAACTCAATTTCATATGATTCCAAATTCAATTATACGCTTGTTTCGTTTAGCACGGTGTATACAAGGTAGAAACCATAGGAGACGCGTACATGGTAGTTGGAGGAGTTCCAGATCCATGTGACAACCATTCAGAAAGAGTGTTGAATGTGTCAATCGGTTGGTTGCCTTTATAATTATTGAGATGAAAAGCCCATTAAAAACCTGCCAGAATGTTGGAATGATGTCTGACTGAGGGATGCAGACTTTTGGCTCGTCCGGGCTGGCACGCGGCGAGTTGCGTGGCGGCATGCGCGGCGATCCAGACGAGGCATGGCTTCGCGGTTTCGCAATAGAATTCAACACGTCAAAGCGTGTGCAGACTGCTGATTAACTCTGCATGGTTCTGCGGTTTGAAAATACTTCACGCACGAGGAAATTTGGGTGCAGCGGTGTGACAAAGGAATTTCAGGACAAGGAGATGAGAGAGCCTCCATAAAAATGTTACCACTATCACCAAAGCGAAGAAAACACTGAATTCAGGAGTTTTCTTATTTACCTTTTTCATGCTTGCTGATCGTGGCGCTCATGCACCCAGGAGGAACACTCAAAACAGGGAAGATGCTAGGTGATACTAGGACTAAGCCCAGGAGAGCGGGGAAACGCCAGGGAGAACATTTGCTCACATCTTTCCCAGAATCCCTTCCCCTCATTGAACTCAATTCCATGCACAGTAAATGGCTAACTCACTTGAATGTCCTCAACTAACCCCCTTTTCCAATTGAAGTTTCCACACAATCATCGTTATCCTCTCTCCACACGTTGAAAAGTCATTCGAATAGCAGAACCTTGCGGATTTTTCCGCGATCTGCACATGCCTTGACGTATAAATTCCACTGCAGAAGCCCGCGAAGACTTGCCTCGTCCGGATCGCAGCGCAGCCCGCCGCGCGATTTACCGCGTGTCAGCCCGGACGAGCCAACAGTCCGCCCCCCTCCCCCTCAGCACGTTCCTCTTCAATTCGAATGCTTCTTGGTATTAATACACTGCTCCTCATAATAATTTTCTACCCACGAAATTCTCGAAAACTTTCATTCCGAGATGTTTTCGGAAAAGCTCTATCGTGAATGTGTGTATGTGTACCTCTCTTGCGAAAAACGAGAAGAGCGTCGAGTGTAGACCATACACCACAAGTGACGACGGCCCCCAAGTAAAGCTGGTTAGTATTGGTTCACAGTGATGGCTGATTTTTGATAAATGATAGTTATAATTAGTCACAACTGATGGAATACAACTGCAACAGGCTAATAAATTCATTGGCAGAAAACATTTACACTTTGCGGAGGCCCTCGTCACTTCTGGTGTATGGTCTGCACCCGACGCTCTCGTTTTTGTAGGGAGTATATGGTATAGGTAGGGTGTATGGGTGCGACTTCCCATATCAACACAAAGTTATGACTCAAGAAAGCAGAAGCTTTTTTCTAGGTTTTTTTTTGAGACAAACCACCCTCATACATCCACTGCAAGTCGAAAAGTTATAAACTTCGAAGAACATTAATACCATCGCACGTTTCTCCGTTGTGGGCGGAGCCACACAAGATTCAAACACGCCTACTCATTTTTTCCTGCCCTCTAGGATGCTTTGGAAATGAAATCAGGACTTCTTATTGAAACCGCTCATACAGAGAACACCTGTGAGTGTTCTCCCTTCACCTCATCCGTATCACAAGTTAACAAGTAGTTAGAGCGATAAAAAAAACCTCTGCGTGCAGAAATCGGACCCCATACAAGTGCTTCTTCTCTTAATTTCAAAACAGCTATTTTTGTAATCGATGTAGTCTCTTTGTTTTAGGTCTATTGATGGAGTCGAAGTTAGTCTTGTCTCCTATTACACACAAGCCTATAAAAATACGTGTTGGTGTTCATGCTGGCCCTGTCGTCGCAGGAGTTGTAGGGATGAAAATGCCACGGTATCTTGTTTGAACATTAGTTTGTGAAACAATTACTATCTCAATTCTTAAAGGTACTGCTTGTTCGGAGACTCCGTCAACGTTGCAAATAAAATGGAAGCGTGTGGTGTACCTATACGAATTCACGTTTCGGAAACTGCGAGAACTAATGCATTGCGAACAAACCAAAATTTCGTATTTGTTGACAGAGGACTGACCGATATCAAGGTAAGCGGTGTTTTCGGTGGCACAATAGACTGTGTGTGTTGAAAAATGGTAAATGTGTCTACAATAAAGAGAAGCAAGGCCTCGGAGGAGCAAATCGTGGCGCTTTCTTGAGCGAGGGGCGCTTCCGTGACAAAGCCTTAACCGTCCCTGTGGACACCTTCTTCCTCGGCTGTCCACCGATTGGCTACCTTAACTGCTGGACTCAGTTTTTTCTCAGCAGAGAGGCAGAGCGCACCTTGAAAACGTTAGCATCGATGTGACCCGCCTATACCGGAGTTAGTGGCTTGAACAGTGGTTCCGCCCAGCGATTTTTAGGCCTCCCCTTGGCTCTTTATTCTTTGATTCACCTTTTAGGCTCCACTTTCATTTTCGCGAAAGCCCATTTATTGTATCACCTGCCTATTCAACAAAAGTGTAGGTAGTCTCGCAGTGAACGTTTACTAATCAAATGGATGATACGGTAATCGTAATCCTCCTGCTGCTGTGAAGTTTTCATTGATATCATATTTTTCCTTTTGTTGGATAAAAGGATGAAGGATAAAGCATTTGCCGTTGATCAATCCCTTTTTGGGATGCGGCACGCATTCTACTTCCATTTGTAAATTCGAAGTGGCGTTATGCGATGTGGCCTGGACAATGAGTTGTGGGGGCCAGCCGATGTAAAGTCAGTGTTATACTCCCAGATAAGTCTGGTACCAATTAGCCGACCCCGGAGGGATGGAAGGCTTGGTTGGCCCGAGCGACTCACGACCCAGGATTTGATCCCCGGACCGCTCGCGTGGTAAGCGTGCCACTACACCACTTCCGCCCTTTGTATCCTTTGTTGGATAATTGCTGTTTTATGCCGCAGTTCGCGTTACGAAAGTTATCAAAAGAATGCTGAGTTGTGTGCAAAACTTCAACCCCAGCCGGGATTCGCACGCAGATGTCTTACTTTCCGAACAATTGTGCTACCAGTTACACCACCATTTCACCCCAACTCACAATCACCTTCATCACGTTACACGTGTAAATGACAAGCTATGGTAACTTCACCATCAAAAGCTGAGTTGGGGTGAAATGGTGCCCCGGTGGTGTGACTGGTAGCACAATTGCTCGGAAAGCAAGGCATCCGGGTACGAATCCCGGCTGGATCGAAAACATTGCACACAAATCAGCTTTCTTGTGATAATTATATTCTTCGTTTTAAATTTACAAGAGGCCATTGATTAAATTGCTTTGCACACCAGACTCAATCTTGTTTTACTACCTAGCTTCACAAACTCGCTATGAGCAAGAATTCCAGCAATAAGGATAGATTGGAATCTGAGCCTCAATGAATCGCATCTTCAAGTTGTAATAATCAATATATTCTAGGGTAAAGGACTCATGTACACATATTTTCTGGAAAGAAATGATAGGAAAAGCGTGTGGGAGCTTTGCGCTCGCCCTCGGTGTAAGTCTGTGCAAGCTTTTTTCGTACAGATACAGAAGTCTACCATCGAATTTCAGCTGGCGAACAAACTATAGACGGCTATATGGAACTGCACGACTCGTCCATTTATCACGAAAGCGAGCAAAATCCGACCAAAAACGGTGAAAAAAAGGTAGATCAAGCCGCATGGCATTATGAGAGCATTAGATTGACGTAATACAAATGCCCGATTGAAATAATTTATTTATCGAATTACAATTGCTCAACAGAGCAGATCCGATACATATCTCCCCTCTTATTCTATCACACAGTGCCCACCACAGTTCTGAAATTTTAAGAATTTCGAGGTTTCTTGGAGAAAAAATTACAGTGGTCCGAATAATAGCAACTTCGAAGCGCTATATTGCGTAACAAGGGAAAGTTACCACGTCAACTTCCATTCCATGCTAGATAACATTCATGACATGCCATGGCAGTGGAATTTCGTAGTACCGTTTACTCTTTTATCGGGGCAATATGTCATCATATATGGCAGGTTTCGGCTTTGGGCCCCGTGCTGCAGAGTGGGGATGAATCTGGTTTTGTCAGCGGTAGCGATGAGATTCAAAAACTGCTACCTTCTACAGAAAACGCTGAAAGTGCGTTGGAAATGGTCGAATTAATCTGGTAGGCTGTAGTACATTAGCTCATGGGTACCCGTTCCCGACAGGCTTCATGGAATGCAAGTATAATAGTGGGCAGTTGTGGTGTGATGGCAGAAACGATTTCCATTCGTTAATTCGTCGATGCTCATGCTCATGACGGCTTTCTCAGCACGTAGATCTCTTCTGCGTAAGCTCTCCATTCGCAATCTCTGTTTTCTAGACTGCCATATCGGCCTCAAAATGCTAAATTCACCTGTAATTGCCGGTAGGAGTGGGACCCTGGATGGGCATTCTTTGGTGCAGTTGCACCGATCTTAGCAACAAGGAAACAGGTCGCTATAGTCATTCGAGAAGTCATGAATACGCCTAGAAGTGTCCTCGAACGTTGATCTCAAATCAAGCTTCCAAATCTACTAAACGATTATTTGAACGGAGGTATGAAGCAAAATAGCGCAGCGGTAGTGGTCGGGACTCACGGTCCCTCATCGTAATAATTTTTTTCTATTCCTCAAGAATAGAGCTAATCTGCTTTCAATAGCCTATTTAATTGATCGATTCTACGACATTTTGACTCTGAGTTCCGACCACTACCGTTGTGCTGTTCTGCTTCATAACTCCGTTTAGGAAATCGTTTAGCAGATTCCGAAGGTAGATTTGAGATCAGCGTTCTGCACATCTAGACGTACACATCTTTCTTTGAACGGCCATAACGGCCTGGAAGCCTTTCCTTGTGAGTATCACCATCATTTCCTCTCATTCTAACTACCTAGTATTCACGCAGCAGCGATCAGGAGTTGTGCAGTGTGGGCGGCAGGGTGAAAGTCGTGTCGAGGAAATAACCGCCTCTTTACGACCCCTCTCCAAAACATGAACTCTGATACACCCTTTTGTCCTCTGCACATCCGGTTTTCATATAAAAAATGCTAGTTTAGTGATGTGGCGCGGGGCCGCCCACCGCTGCCGCTGCCCGCAATGCGCCTTGCTCAAGGCTAGATTCACTTATACTCAGATTAGGTTCTCCTTCTTTCTTACAAGACATTTAACCTTTGCCACATTCGCCGAAAAGTAGAACATTGAAGGAGTTACGCCCCTACACAGTTGAACAGTCTCGAGCTCAAGTATAGCGGCGCTATCTACCCGCGATCGCGTCGCGCGCTGTGCCTAGAGCGCACTAGTTGGCAAAATCGCCAAATGTACCCCCTTTTTGAAGGACTATAACTTTCTTCATGATAACCGTTTCAGAAAGTGAACGCAGCTTTTGAATGCACGAGACTTCTAGTTTCGAAGTAGTGCTGAGCGTTTTTCCAAGCACGCCTATTGTCGAGAGTGGGAGACGTCAAGGAATTGTCGAGGAAATTGAAATTTGCATGCGAGTTCCCACTCTTAGGAAGACAGTAGCTGTCTTCATTGGCAATACAGGGTGGCTACTAAATATTGGCGTATGGTTAATTGACCATATTTCCAAAAAGAGAATCTGTTAAATCTTCAGGGGTTTATCTTTATATACAGTAGAACATAACAATTCACTACTAGAGAAGATGCTCGGAAAGAAGTTTTCCGGTTGCGATACAGGCTTCAAGTCTCTTCTCAACTGACATCACCGTGGGCCGCAAGCAGTTTTCGTCGAGTTGCTTCAACGCTTCCTCCTAGGAAGCCTTCTAGAAGTCCAAACTTCGATGTTGCCTAGAAGGCATCTTCTGCTGCAGGAACACCCACACCGCAAAATCCAGTGGGTCAATCGGGTGAGTTAGATGGCCAAACATCCGGTGACTAGTAACTTGGAAAATGGCGGTCACAGAACTCCAGCGTAGATTTTTCGGCATGGGGGGGGGCGCCTAGTCTTGCTGAGGAAGGTACTGACATTTGCTGGAGGTCGAAACAGTCCATGGAAGGAGCACATCTCGTAAACTTGTTCCCTGGTAGATCTGGGCGTTAATTTAGAATGATTTGTCCACAAAGACAAACGGTGTCTCGGTGTCGGAAGTAATTTCTGGCTAAATCATGACAGATTTTGGAAATTGGCTCCTTGTGTGCGCACGACGTCGAGCAGGATGCCTGCTAGCCGGATCCAACAATTGCCTGTCCTTTTGAGAACTGTGCGCCAATTCCAGTGTGATGATCTTCTCGTGTCACGTTGACGTCACTTACTTGCGGCCCACGGTGATGTCAGTTGAGAAGAGACCTGGAGCCTGTATCACTGTCAAGGGAGACCATTTCGAACACCTTCTTCAGTGATGCATGGATATGTTTTACTGTATATAAAAATGGACTTCTGAATATGTAATAGTTTCTGTTTGCAAAAATATGGTCAATAAACCATGCGCCAATAATTAGTAGCCACCCTGTACTTTGGAAATCCGACGAAAGCGTTGAAAAGTAGAAGATTCACGCTTCCTAACAGGTGCTCCATTTGTTTCGAACGCTTTCTAGTTCGCGAGAAATCTGCGTCGAGGAAATGTCAAGGAAATTTTCGAAGCCACTCGAAAACTCTATTACTCCCTCGCCGTAGTAGGGGACTTCTTTGAACATCTTCAAAATACTTCTATACACGTCAGTTTGATGGAGTTAATTGAAAACGATGCACCTGGCGCGGATCCATTCCGTTCCTGTATGCGCCATGCAGTGAACCCACTCGGAGTCATTGGGAAGGTGGTTTGTCTTAGTGACTTCCTTAAGCACACCAGAAGATATTTCCAGTATTAACTAATTAGGATGACTCTTGTAGTCATAGCGATGTCTGATTATTCCTTTATTCAAGTTGCTTCCTCTCCAACCCGTTCTGATGAATGACACGCTTGTGGTTGCAGGATTTGATGATGCCAAGAAGGCTGCGAATCTGCCTGTTTTGAACTTTCTAACAAGATACTGTTCCTCCATTAAGTTTTCGAAGCATCAACGTCATTCTAGAGTAGGTAATCGCTGCCCTTTCCCTACTATTCTTTTGCAGGAAGCGTTGCCTTCCTATGCCACATTGATCACTACGAACCAAACCAACACCCACTTTCCACTTGAATTTTAATTCCAGACATGTGTAAGATATTATTTGCATTAGGCTAACTACAACACTTGTGAAAGTAATGATGACAGCAAATAAGTAGCGGCAGCACCGTTGTGTCCGCTGATGACCCTTTTGATTACGACCCCCTCCCAACTCTCATCGGAGCAAATACGACCCCCTGTCGAGGATTTCCTCGACCGTTATTCACCCTGGTGGGCGGTTACAGGGAAGGCGTTGGCGTTAACGAGGGCACAAAGTCACTACTTTGAGGTCGTAGCGCACCTCTACAGTTTTGTTGTGATGGACATCGCTTATTCTATGTGAGGGCTCAGGAAGCCCTTCTCCGCAGGTAGCGCAAAAATATTACGACGAGGAAAACCGAAAACGGCGGACTTTTGTATCACGTCAAATGATACCCTTTATATCTTCTACTCATTATTGTTGTGCATATTTGGCATACTTCAGGAGGCTGGAGCGGAAACAGTTCCGAAAACTCACCACGTACGTTCCATCACATGCACCGTGTCTTAGGCGTATTCAAGAGCAAAATAACTAAGGAAAGTATTTATGAGTATTTTTTCATTTTTTTTGAAACATTTGAACCTCTGTTGTTGAAAGATACATGCAATAAGTGTGTCCTTCTTCTCCTTCTATGTTGTGAACGCATCCATCTCTTTATAAAAGGTTGTTTATGAGACGACAATGTTGTGTTGAGATAATTTTTTTGGTTGATAAAACCAGAAGCTACGAACCCGGTGATTTTTCGCGTACGCCCTATGGAAGCCCGACCTTTTTTTAATTTCGAAAAATTCAGATATCGGGGTGTATCTACGATAACAATGCCAAAATGGCCATAACTCAAATCAGAAGCTGTTTTGACGTCGCTGTCCCTTTGCGGGCTGCCTTCAGACTCGACAGATTCTTCTCATTGATCTGAGAGCACTTGCGAAATGGGCTCAAAAATTTTCATTTTTCCAGTCCAGCATTTATACAGTGCGTTTCATAAGTATAGACGCACCCCAGAAATATCTAAAAAATAGTTTCAGACACATTCACATGAAAGCGTCATGGAACCGATGGGATTAGCGACTCAAAACAACCTGAATCATAAAACATCTCACTTTCACCAAAAAGTAAAAGAAGCATATTAGGCATCGGCCGTGCCTGTGAGCGTTTCATAAGTATAGACGCACTCGGAAAACCTCAAACGTTTATCAGGATAATAAAGTGATAACAATGTTTTAATAATCGATTGGTCCTCCATGTTTGGAAATGACTTCAAAATTCGATTCGGCACAGAGTCGACAAGGTTTTTCAGAAGCTGTAGATCCAAACGGTTCCATGACTGACTGATTGCTGCCTTAAGTTCCGTCACGTTGTCGAAGGTCCTTCCCTGGCAGTAAATGTCACGAACCAGGCCCCATATGTTCTCCATGGGATTTACATCAGGAGAACAAGCGGGCCAATCCATTGTGACTACATTTCGCTCTTCTAACCATGCTTTTGTTGACCGGCTCACGTGGATCGAAGCATTGAGTTCATATGTGTGGAGATGAAGGCGATCTCGAGCACTCCTCCTCGGTGGAAACCTCCTCAAACCATGACGCTACCTCCACCAAAATTGCGCTTGCTGAAGTACTTTGGCTCCTTGCGGAGATCTCTCCAGTAGTAAACGTACCCGTCCGGACCATCCAGATTGAACTTTTTCTCATCCGAGAATATCACCTAAAATAGGATTTTCGTTGTAGTAACTTTTTAAGGAGGGGCGCATACCTTGGTCCAGTTCGTTGCCATACTCCTTCTAACAAACTGGAGCCTAGCCTCTTTGTGGGACTCGGTAAGGCGAGGAGCTGGGCGCAGCCGACTTCGCACAATGTTGCTGTTACGTTTTACTGCCCTCCACACCGTGGTTTTGGAAACTGAGGCTGGTAGATTGGCTCGGACCGCATTAAGACTGACCGAAGTGTTTGACACAAGTCGCCCAATTTGGCGTTCTGCTTGGGCAGTCAGCTTTCTCGGCCTTCCGGATTTCTTCTTGCTTCCATATGAGTCCGAGTCACTCAAGAAGCGGTCGACCACCCTCGACGAACGGTGCAGTTGGAGTGCAATTTTGCGATTGCGACCAGCCGTGTGTAGGGCTCGAATTTGAGGCTGCTCGGCTCCGGATAAGTGAGAACCTCGTGGCATTTGATGATGTGATGCACATTATTCGTTGCTACTTATTACTTTCCTGAAACGGCAAATTTTTTCGGCAAAATCTCATACTTTGCCTGAGTTCTTGAAGTACGTCTATACTTATGAAACGTGTCGTGTAGGTAAAGTGGTGAGAAATGTGCGATTTGGTTGAAAACTATTGTACGACGGCTTTTTGGCATGCTGATTACAATATCAGCGGGTTTATTCGTCATAGACATCTCTGAAAGTTTGTTATCGCATTTTTGAGGGTGCTTCTATACTTATGAAACGCACTGTATACGGAGCAGGATAGGATTGCTTTGCAAAAAAATGAAGCACTGCATTGGTCAACTGCGTGCGAAACTGGCTCTACACATCCGAAAATTAGGAGCTTTAGTTGAGGAAAGCAATTCCAAACAATTCACTGGTAAAATACACTATGTATGTGTAAAATATGCACTGACCACAGTCAGGTAATGTATTTTACGATCTCCATAAATGTACCCTCAGATGTAACTAGCCACACATGTATAACTATGTAACTCATATTAACCTTGTGGCGACATTGTCGCTAAGATGACGATGAAGATAAGAATAACAGAGAACACGTGAGGTACAATTGCAGTGGTGTGGCGAATCACAGGGCATCGCATCACGGTAGTCTTGAAATCCGTGCACCAGTTGGTTTGTATATGAGTGGGGAACGAACCAATCTCCTTATTTCTCACATCACCACGCTTATTCCACTTATTAGGGAGATTGGAAAAACTCGTCAGGCACGCAGCGAGCCATGGAGAGGGCCGGTGCTGTGTAACGCGCCGAGACCGCACACCCAATGACACACTTCGCGCTGTACAATGGTAAGGACGTCGTCGATGCCATCTACGAGCGGAGGTGAGCCAGTCATGTGGCTATTCTCACCGATGATCGCTGGACGCCGCCTAGGCGTGCCCGGGACGAATAGCGGGCGAGAAATGAGTAAGTAAGTGAGTAAGAAAAACTAAAAAGGTGACCTATCACAGCTCGACTACATAGAAAAGCTCACCGGTGGCGCGTTTCTCCTCCTGGGGTCAGGTCACCTAAAATCGAGACGCCGTTCATTCGCACGGAGCAAGGTTAAGACCAAGTCTAGGCCCAATCATAGGCTTAAACATGAGCCAATTTGTAAGCATAAGCCTCAACTCAAGTCTAAACTCAAACTGAACCTTAAGCTTCAATGACCACGCAACTGTGGTGGCCCGACCCCAGGAGAAGAAGCGCACGTCTCCCGCATTTATCAGCCTCTAACTCCTGTGCAATAAGAAGTGGTGTAAGTACGAACTGACTCGCCTAATCACTTTCAGCTTCATCGCCGGGTATGCACGCCAAAACTCCCACATCTGACATTTGTGCATCGCCGGGTATGCACATCCGTATTTTGCTCCCACATGAACCTTTTTCAGTACTTCTTTGACTAGTTGTCTTCTGTTAGTGTCATGAATCCGTAGAAGGTATGGCATGTCGAAAACTTCAATTTCAACACAAACAATCAGATTCTAATACGCCTACCTACTGAAAAACTTATCATCAATTGCGAAATTTTATGCAAATTGCGCTCCAAACCCGAGTTCCTTTGGCAACCAAAAACAAACTGTTACAAATTTGTTTTTCGAAAAATTTTCCTAATCAACACGTCTGCTAGATTACAGAAATACGCACGAAACCAAGCTAAACGCTCATTGGACCTATGAACCGTAATGACAAGCAAAACTAAAAAATTCATTATCGGTATGGGAACGAAAGCTCCCGCGCCCTTCCAACAAATCTGCTATGTGGGTCCTGTAATGGAAACGCACAAAATGTCCCACATATGAGATTAAAGCATCGCCGAGTATGCGCGCTCGCAATTCCGCCAATGCCACATGTGTGACAAGCGCCGAAATCGGCGCGGACGTCAACGTATTAATTTAGCACCATAAAAGTTTATGCAAAGGCACTGACTTCTCATTGCATACTGAACATGTACTGCAACTGGAATAATACACATTGAAGAAACCCCCTATAATCTGGCGCGGATACGCACTAATGATTGCTTAGTTTCGTAATGTGCCAGCAATTCGTTGCTGTACGAGCAAAGTGCCACAGGAGCAGACTCATCCTTCAGTTGCTCTTGCCGCAGCTGTGACGTCACCAGCACGCGTTCGCGTCCGCGCCGCCGGTGAGCTTTCCTCTCTCCCCTCACCCCCAACCTCGAGGAACCTAGGTCCCTGATTTTAGTGTTTTCGATGGCTGCTTTTGATTTCGTTGACACCATTGTAGGCTGGTGGGTAAAATTTCCTCAACTTCTGCTGTGTACGTGCACTCGTTTAACTCTTTATGAGTACTTTTCAATGAAACAGCGAAAAGCATCTATACACTACATGGCACGACACACCTAGTAATTAATGAACTCAGCGAAATATCGGAAAGCGTCTCAGACCCAAAATAATGAGAAGACAGGGAACAAATGAAAGAAACGTAGTATCACGACAGTATAAAAATAATATAAACTGCTAACAAAAGGTCATGCAGTGTTTTCTAGTACACATTGGTCACCAGGGAAGGACAACCACGGTATTGTATCGAATTCCTTTAAGCATAATTAAAAATAGGTTACGAACAAATGCTAAGAAATTCAAATTTCATCGGTTGATAATATATGGCTGGATAGAACATCTGCAGATATTATTCGGCTTATTGATGGATCACATTCTATTTAGAATCGGGTGGACGACCGAAAGAAACATCACAGAAACTAAGAAGACGCTGGTAATATGAAACACAATAAAAAATGCATAAAAGACTCAATCCGGAATTGTTGCACGTAAAAGGGAGAAAGAACCATAGGCGATAACTGTCATGAGAAATCATGAGAAAGAACGTGGTAACGACACATAACTACTTACTAATGGAGAAAGACTGATGAGCGTTCAGAATGATGAAAGAACAAAGCAAGCTGCATGCACATAGGCGAATCGCCTGGGATTTTAGATTTCTCGAAAGGGTTCTCAACGGAGAGTATCTTTAGGTAATCAAACAATTAACATATATTGAAGCTTAAAGGCAGTGATCACGATAGCTGGAGGGCGGTGTTGTTACGATGACGTCATTGAACATAATTGGTGGACTGGATCCAGCGCGCTGTGTGTGATTGTGCCCGCCTTTTGACGCCCTTCCACCAATGACGCTCAATCACGCCATCAAGACCGCAACACCCTCCAGCTATCGTGATCACTGCCATTAAAAACATAATTATGGTAAAAAAAAATTCGGGATAATCTATGAAGGTGGAGTAAGCAGGAGCACAGTACTACAATATTGGGCACTAGTCGATGGGT